CTATTCATATATGTATTTGTAATTAAGATATGAGTTACCTTCTGTTGTCCAATCTTCGTCTTGGTTCTCATTTTCTTCAGGTTCATGGGAATCATCATCCGTAGTTGCAGATGGTTTAGATTTTGGGAACTTTATATGTGTATGACTTTTTATATTATTCTTAATTTCATCCACTATTGCTTCGATGCGTTTAAGTAACAAATCAGAGCTTTCAGTAAATGTGCTCAACTCACTGGAAATGGAACAACAGTTCTTAGTTAATTGGTTCATACTCTTTGTGTTCTTTTGTTTCCATTCCTCAAAACGATCTTCTGAAGAGTTGACATATGCCAAAATTTGTTCCAAGGTCTTGGCATTCTTCCTTGTGAGTGCTTGGAATTGCTTAAAATCTTTTTGTGACATATGTGTTGATATTGCTTCAATATTCTGTTCTAATCTTTTCAAGGAACGTTCCCAATTTGAACGCTGCATACCATTAGTGTAATTACCATTTATGTCTGCAACTTTATCTGTTGAAGCTTTTTTGAATTGTTTGACTCTTAAATTGGAATGACAATTATCATTTTCAATATTTTGGACATGACGCAAAATATTGTTTAAACGTAATGAAATATCACTCTTTAATCGATTATCGGCGTTTAAGGAAGTTTGCAGATTTTCAAAAAAATTTGATTGATCCTTGAAGTCATGATAGTTATCTGCTCTTAGGAGTTTTGTATTGCAAGTATCACTTAAAAACACAACTTTACTGAGTATGTGATTGAGTGTAAACTCTAGACTTGTTAATTTGTTTGACAAATTTTGTTGTTCCTCTTGACTGCGTTTTATCAAATCCAATTTATGTTCAAATGATTTAAGCTGCTCGTTCCAAGCATCAATATGGTGACGAAAAATTGCCCAGTTATGTGCTTTTTCTTGTAAGGCCTGTACAGAAGCATCGATTTGGTTTAATGCATTCGTAAATGTGTCTAACTTATGTTGGAATATATTTGGAAGATTTATAGCATCAAGTTGTTGTTCCTGAGTGACTTCCACCTTTGGTATAGTATTGTTAAGTAACCCAGCATATATCATATACGGCCCGTAAAGGATATACATTAGAAATAGCAGAAAAATTATTGATATCTATAAGTATATAATATTCTATAGGTATCATAGACGCTACAAACGAAGATAAATCACATACCATCATTTTTTTTGATTTGTTTTATTTTAGTAAAATATTCTTAAAACAATTCATATAAGCAGAAATATTTAAACTCAACCAACTTTAACACACCCAAGTATACATCTGTTTGCTTCGGCGCCAAAGAAAATATAAAACCTAATGGGGGAGCGCAAATTCTGAATAATCACACACAACATATGTTAACAATATTTTTTATATAATGCAAAATTCTACTTAATTCAGCATTTTGAAGACTTAGTATATCTCTTATACTGGCAATTGGTGTGATTGCCCATAGCATTTAATGATATTTGATTGGTTGACCCAGCAGATGTTTTGGTACCATCGAATGTCAACGTCAACAACAAATAAACAAATATTTACTTGAAATAGTTTGTGGTAACCAAATTTACTGCAATATTGCTTTCCAAAATAGAGCCATAGTATACATGTATGTGTTTGTTTTGAAAAACAAAGCTTCGCAATCATCTTCTGAAACTTCGTATATGTACGTATCTTAATACATATATGGTGAATCATATTCAGTCGGGGGGATAAGTCTGTAAATAACGGAACCACGGATTCTGCAATAACACACGGACGAATTACGTACTTAAAATTCTAAGTAATCTGATCTTTTTCCAAGAGAACGACGTTCAAGATCTTGGTCTTAAGAATTCTCAAATCGCAGCATCTAAAGAAATAATAATTAATTGAGGTAAGAACCAAATAAAAACCCACTTTTTTATTAAGATCAACTCAATAGTATTGATATTATTAGCTTTATAATATTTTTAGTGCTGTTAGCTCACACTTTGACTGTTTCTTCCTTATTTTTAGTGATGTAATTAGCGCTTTGGCTCCTGTTTATTCATATGTGTGTATTTAGTAAATATTATTCCAATTTAATTAAGCTTTGGCTGCATGCGTAAGTGAAGGAAGTTTACTTTAAAATTAACATGCATTAAAGTAGAATTAACATAACATAAAGAGTTTATTCAATGAATTCATATTCTTCGCCTTAATACTTATACTTTTTTAGGGTAAATAAGATGTAATAACCAGGGCTTCAAACCGAAATCTTTGCCGTTCCGGTTCAAAACAAAAAAATATATCGATTCGCTTTGGGTTTTCGCTGCGACAATAATATCGATTTTTTTCGGTTTTCGGTTCGGTTCCGGTTCAAAGCTCTGGTATACCATCCAAGGATTCTATGTCCTGCAAGTTGTAGTACTTTTGAATTATATCAAAACTTCACGTTCTATGTATCTAACGGTTCCTATCTTATAAAGCATTAACAACACAATCTCAGATAAATGGGCGTCCCAACAGTACGTAGTAAGCATAGATTTCAATGGTTCAAACCATTTTACTGCCTTAAGTACGTAATAGTGTTCAGCAATTAGAAATTCAAAATTTAACCCATTGACATACATAGAAAGATAATATCAAAACTTGATGCTGATCCACGTATAAGAATACCCATCTTATTTTCACTGCTTATTATAGTATTATGATCCTTGAAATTCAAACTGTTTTTCCACTGTGCCAGTCCAATAAAAGTGTAGTTCATTTTCGAAAGAAACACACCAACAAAAAACAAAGATTTCAGCTCAATTATAAACTTTATCGTTTTAGTTCTAAACCGTAGTATTAACTTCGCCACGTTAAAATGCTTGCTAACAAAAGATTCGCCATTTTTTGACAAAAGCGAGATCGTAGCATGCTTAACAACAACCAGGCAAGTATGACGTCTTCCCCTGAAGCGGTGTTATAAATGCTGAACTTCTGGGATCAACTGTTACGATAAATTGAGCTACGTGAATAGAAGAAAATATGTTATGCTTTTGCTGTATTAAATGGTTTTAAACTTAAGTAAAGTAGCTAACGATCAGTTTTTAAATATAGATGATCCGTTCAGTATAACAATTATAGCATATTGGGGCGCATCACTTTTTTATTTGTTCGCATTCACTAATGCCCATGTCATTTATACCAATTTTAGATAGAATTCTTAAGACAAATTGTGGTTGTTTTTGAATATATAGTCAAACTTCCATAACTTCCCGTTGTGGTATCACAATGGGCCATTATTTGAACTCAAGTGGGCTTTTTGTAAACAAGGCCAACACTCCAACCTAACTCCATAACTCGAATTTTCTATAACTCAAACTGAATAGAGTGCAACAGGTTTTAGAGAGCAAATTATTTGCAATTGCAAAAAAATTCTTTAACTCGAAGTATTCATTGGTCGAACCTTTTCTTTACACAATCATTTGCAGAATTGGACTATATAAAGTTCGTTCTGTTATACACCAGTTTTATAAAAACGATTTTTATTTTTAAGATTTCAAAAATTCCTATTTTAAATAATACCAAATGCTGGATTTTAATAAAATAAAATAAAACAATAATATTTATTTAATTGATCTTTTTTGTTAGAATTTATTTTTAAATTATTTTGTATAGTCTAAGCAGTTATAAACTGCTGTACTAAGTTATGTTACAGTAAATTACAGAATTAAATGAACATCTAAATATAACTTCTAATGAAAAATATTATATTAATAAATGTATGTATAAATGTGTATAAGTGTATTTTAAGTAATAAGTAAAATTATGTTTATGTATGTTTGGGCGTGTTCTATGTATTTTTTATTGTACATTATGTAAGTGTGTATATTTAATATTAAATAAACAAACCTTTCATTTCCTCTATCCACTGAGCTCTTATCAAATTTTTAAAATTTACATTACATACAACAATATTATGCCTTTAAAATATATAAAAAAAATAAAATTAACATCTTTAACAATTAATAATTTATCTTATAAAATTTGTAAATAGCTCAAAGCTATTTCATATTCAAATATTTTTGTAATTAGAAACACTATATTAGTTGCTTAATTTATTTATACATTAATTTGTTTTCTTGTTTTTTTTTTTGTTTTGTTTTTGTTTTTACAGAATTATTTTCTTGTTATTATATTTTGCTCTGACATAAACATATTTATTAAAAATAGTACTATGTATATATTTCATTATATATGTATATATATACAGACATTTTTTATCAAGCTTGTTTTACAACTGTTTACATATAGTTTTTTTTTGTAAATATTTTAATAGATTTTTATATTTTTTTTGTGTTTATTTTTTGTACATGCATTTGCAAGATTTTAATTTTTATACTATTAAATTTTTAAAAGTATTTGATTTCATAAATTACCATTAAACTCTATTTTCATTAAAATTTACAATAAAATTAAAAGTGAAAAGGGAAATTAATTTAAAAGCTTAATTAAAAAATTTTTATTTTAATAGCATTTCTTAATTAGCTTCTATTTAACTTCCGATTTTTTACATAATTTTTATTTTTAAAGAAAATGTTTATAACGCGTTTCAATCCATATTTTGTCACCCCAGAAAGCTAAGCTCTCCCTTTCTCAAAACTGGTTGTATATCTTCACATACAATTGATTTTATTTCCTTTTACACTGATTTCGTTTAATATAATAAATATTTTCATTAACTTTTTCAACAGAAACAACAGCAGTACTTAGTCAAAAAATTAAAAAAAAAAAAAAATAAATAAATAAAAATATACAGCAAAATGTACCTATAAACTTCACTCATAGCGGCAAACGACCAACAATGTTCTAACTTCAAATAAAAAATAAAAAATTCCTTGATTCATTTTAATAGTTGCAAAATTGATATCGTATATTCTATTTTAGTATATATAACGTAAAACATTAAAAATTTAATTAAATACTTAATTACTTCGTTTTCCTATTTAATATAAGTAAAAGTTGTTTACACAAGTTGTAATTTGTATAAATAAAAATGCATAGTTAAAACACATAATATAAATTAACCGCTAAATAGGAGTTGCAACTTGGGTACTCTTTAGTTAACAAAATGAAAAAAAGCTTACATACTCATATTTGGTTTTAGATATTACTTTACTTTTTACAGTTTTCTGCGTAATCTATCAGTACGTTCCCCTGAAGTTCCTTTCCATTCCGGATCATTTGGATCATCATCCTCAAATGGTTCGTTCTCAGATGTCTCATCCTCGCTCTCACCTAAGATATTGCTACGTTTATCATATGCATTAAAAGCATTTTCGTCGTAGGCTTCGTCATTTAAATGTAAAGGATGTTTTGGATAATCATCTCGAAGCTCGATGGCGCCAAATTGAACATTGTCATCTTTGTCGTTAATATTAGAATTCGCTTCGCTGCTAACTCCCTTACGATCCACTGAACTATTTGTTTTTGGTCTCTTATTTCCTTGCAATTCACCATTGACCATTGATTTCGATAAAAGACTGTTTTGAATGTTGTACTGAGAATCTCCAGCACTTATATCGGCAATCTCGTCAACTATATGAGAAGTGGGCATTAATTGCAACATAGTATCGTATTTTTCCACTGTAAGCGGAAATATCAGATGTTCAAATGGTGGCATAAATTGTAGTAACTGTAAAATGAGAGATTATATTTTTATTAATTATTTCAGTAAAATTAATTAATAGATGTACAGTTGCTCACTTTAAATTGCTAAAATGTACGCAAAATAAAAACAATACTTCTTCTGTCTAAGCGACTAGTTATAAAGTGAACAAATATTTTAGCGACTGCAGAAAAAAATGTTATGAAAATGATAAGCGATCTATTGTAAATCTTCATTGGAAATTTCAAAAAATATTTCAGAAAAGTTTCACAAATTTGAAAATTACGAAAACAAAATATTTTAAAAATAAACAGTAATGTGGAAAATATAAATATATATTTGTATATTTATTTTTAGGAGTACATGAAGAAAGTATAATTGGAAAGCGCCTTAAATTTTTTAACGTATTTGTTGCTAACAAATATTTAATATTTATTCAGGCATAAATATTCTTAACTATGTATTATTAATTTTGTTGTAAAAGGAAATTTAAAATTTCTTAAATCCTGAACATTTTAATTTTCAATTTTATATTAATCATTTATTTTTATACAAAATGTAATTTGCTTGCATTATGTGCACATATATAAGATTTGCTCTTTGCGAAAACATTACATTTGACAGATTGCAACTGTGATGTCAATATGTCACTTAGTGCTTATAGCAAGCAACAAGCAAGTTGTTGTCAACAGTGATGCCAATATGTCACTTAGCACTTATAGCAAGCAACAAGCAACTTGTTGTTCTTTGGCACACTTCGGAGCTGCCGAATGGAACTAGTATATATAATGATTAAATATATGATTTTTTTCTTATTAAAAGAATAAAATTTTATAGAAATTGTTTAAATAAAAGAATTACTTTTTGCTTTAATATTATTATTTTTTATATATTATTTTTCATAAAAACACGTTTCTCTTGTCATCCCTTCACTGACATTAAATCTTTGGTATCGAGATTACCTACTTCCCAAACAATTCATTTATTATGAGCAACGAAAGCTATTGAAAATTAGTTTGTGTATTCAATGTTCACTAGCACCTTTGACGTCATTAAAATTATCAGTATCAATATCATCATCCATTTCAACTGATTCTTTATCACACTCCCTCTCATAATCTCCTCTGCCGAATATTTAAAGTCACTGTTTATATATAATATAATACAATAATACTTAATACTATTGTCTTAATTATATCAGAACTCCAAAATGTAGTGAAGAATGCTGCCAGTTTTTTCGAATGATTTCAGTACTAATTTTACCGCAAACTAAACTTAGTTTCGTAACGATTTGGTATTAACTTCTGCAGAAATTTTATAGCGATTTAAGACTCCCAATACATTACACAGTCTAGTCTGCAAACATTTTTTTACAATTCTGGAAATAATTAATAAAGTGAACTTTTAGAGTGGCTCACAAAGTGATTAAGTTTTATCTCATTTCCCGTAGTGGTCTCTTGAGCTTAGGGAAATGTCGGAAGTCACAAGGTTCTAAGTCTCGGAATATGATGAGTTTATTTTTTTTGAACAATGGTATTGAACAACTAATGCCTGATGTAAATGTTACACAACCCTCAAATAATATTTGTTTTTAACATTTTGGTTCGACGGAATGTTACACAACCCTCAAATAATATTTGTTTTTAACATTTTGGTTCGACGGAAATAAAGTTATAATGCACTACACCACAAGAATTAAGAACTACTGTTCTACTACTGATCTTGATTTTCGAATTACCTTTTGCACGGTTCTTTCTTGATTGGGCAAGAAACCGTTTTCGATCCGAAAACGGTCGTATGAATAGGTCCAAATTTTATCTTCGGTTATCATATAATTGATTTTATTCTTATACTCAGAAAACATTGTTTAAGACTTCAACACTACGCTTTTTTTTCAGGAAATACAGTGATGTTTATGTCAGATGAGATATCATTCTATTCATAGTGATAATATATAGATATACAACGCTTATTGATAAAAAAAAACAATGTAACCGAAGTATCTGGTTAAAGAGACGCAATAATTTTCTTTGCATGAAACTACAGAGGTATAGTCATATTCTTGTATCAATTACAGATTTCAAGCATTAAGTTGCCGATAGTCGGAAAAGGCGTGATGATTATACATCTTCAATTTTGAGCAACGAAAATTGCTGTGCTTCTTCAGTTTGATACACATACATGCGATATTATTTTTTTTCCCCCAACAAACACTGGGTATCTATATGCTACTACTACACACACACACATATATATATATAAACGTTTTATACGTTTACATAAAACATATTTCCACGATAGTGTAAACGCAACCGAAATATATTTAATTGTCTAGCTGGTGGCAGTGTGAAAAGTGTGAATGCTTTTATTTTTACTATTTATTTTTTGATTTATTTTTTCATTTTATATTAAAAATATTGTACCTATAAAATTTTTTTTATTGGTATTTAAAATAATAATAACAATTGTTACACTGAAATCTACTATATAATATCTGATAGTTCAAATTCATGTTTTTTTATAGAAAAATTTTCATTTTATTTTTTATTAGGTTTTTACTTGAAATGACATTATTTTTCATATAATATTCAACACTGTCATTAAATTGTATTTTTCTGTAAAACTGTATTTTTCAATTAAATTTACCTTTAATGGAAAAAAAATTGATACTAAAAATATTCAAAATTTCTAGTTTAACCACATTTATTATTATAGAAGAAAATAGGAGATCATTATGGAATAAAAGTAATAGTAAGTACAAAGCGTTCTTGTATTTTCATTGAACTTTCTAAAAGGTCACAGTTTTCTAGTACATCTGTTTAAATTCTGTTAAATAGTCCCAAAAAATACGCTACGTGTTTTAAATAATTCCACCTAAGAAATCATTTCCCGAAGTTAAAGCACTTCAACATTAAACACCATTTATACTATCATATATAATCCACTAAAGATTTTGAATGAAATTAGATATATACTTTAACTGTATCCTGTTTGTTAAAAGTAGTTGATATTTACTTTAGCATATATAATAAATGTATGTTGTCATAGAAATCCATTGATCTAAAGAAAGGTTTAGTGTTCTGAAAAAATTTAGCTCAAAAGAAAAAAAATTACTCAAAGTTAAAGTTATAGATGATTGAAATTAGTTCTATATAAATACTTTTATAATGGCATATCTTCTTCGAAAGAAGCGGTTACTGGTCATAATTTTATTAACTGGGTATGTTTTGGTAAAGCTCATAATTTCAACTAACCTCAAATTTTGCAGTCAGAACACTTTCAGAATAAGAAATCTCTCTTAAATAGACTTTAATGCCCCCTTCAAGAAAGCATAGAAATGCGATATAAAAAATGTTAAAAAATATATTTATTGCATCATTATATATTAATATTATATATTTAATATATAAGTAGTATTACTACATATATTAGCTCTTAAAACTTGTGGGAATGTATATACAATGTAAAAGTTTCAGTATAGTTTTCATTACTCATTAGTATAGTTTTCATTATTTTTTGGTTCAATTCAAATGGCAGTAGATTTTGATCGTAACACTCTCGTCTTGTGTTATATCCTCATAATATTCCTACTTACATAAAGTTCTTCCGCGCATATGATCCTACTGCCAATTGATTTGGACCAAACTATATATTGACACTTACATCTTTTGCATCTGGAGTTGAACTGCGACGTTCGAGCTCGCGATCTTTTTTTGTTGATGTTGTTCTTCGCCTCTCCTGTCGCTTTGTACCATAATATTTGGATGCAGATAATATTAGATTCGATGAGCCTGAGACGAAAAATATAATCTTTTATTAATAACTCAATACAAAACACTCAAATAATAAATTTACTTGAAATATTTTCTCCTACGTCAGGTAAGTTCTCCATGGGTGTTATAGGTGTGGATGGCGCAAAAGGTGATGGAATGCTCTAAAAATATTAATATAGTAAATGGTTTTTATATTTTTATTAATTTCTGAACACTAACTTCTTGATCTCCTCCACCAATACTAGAAGCAAGTGGAGCTGGCGATGCTGGATCTGGTGTATTAGCTCCACTAGATTCTGCAACACTATCAATACGACGATTGGCTCGTGAACGTGTACTCCAAGGAAACTTTAAGTAAGTTTGGAACCTTCGCCTTTCTTCAATAAGTGCTCGTTCATGGCGCAAGATTGTTGCTTCTTCTGATATATCCTCTATTTCTTCACAATTTTCCTTTTCATCTTTATCATTTTTAACCATTTCAAATATATCTTCTGAACTCATTCTTATTGGTTTAAATGCGCTCTCCGCCTTGACTTTTTTTATTGGTGGTTCCTGAGTATCTTTTTGAATACCTTCAGTCTCGCAATTTTCATTTTTAGAAATACTTTCTTGCACAACAACACTATTAATATTGTTTTTTACCCCCTCAACATCCGTCATTTGTTCTGGTTTTATCTCAGATTCCTTTGGTGTCTCATTTAAAGTAATGTTTGAATTTAATACTTCCGTGGCTAAAACTTCGTTGCTTATATTAATTTCATTATTTTCTAAACCGTTCGTTTTATTATCGGGTTGTGCTGCGTCTTTAGTTCGCAAATTGGGGTTATCACATTCGGTTTCTTCGTCGTCAATGCATCGCCATCTAAAAAATATTATTTTCATTAGAAATATAGAAATATATATAAATAAGAAAAAAAAAAAAGAAGTTAGTTTAATACAAAAACTAAAATTTTAAACCTAAAAACAAAAGTAATTTTGTTATGTACTTTTGTTATTTTGAATTGAATTATTGATTGATTATATGAATGCGAAAGGGTTTGCATTTCAGTTTATTAGAAAAAACATTATTCTTGATCGAATGTAAAATTAGCTGTTCCACAGTGGCGGTAGAGAAAACTAGAAAAACAAGAGAAATACTAAGAAAAATATGTATATTCAAACAAGAGGATAAGTTTTCATCGATGTTAAACAAAAATATCGTCTCTCCTTATGAGAAAAATATTTGATCACTTTGAAATATAGAGGCTAAGACTATCGTTTATAAAGGTTTGGGAATTCCTCGCCATCTGTAGGTTCTTTTGGATCATAGCATTGAGGGTGATAGGAATGACGAACAAGTAGAAGTTTCAACAAAAAACAAGTGGGCATTTCAAATAGAAACGAGTTAACATTTAAAATAAAAACGAGTAGACATTTAAGTGCACGTTTCAACTAGAATCTAGATAACGGTTTAACTAGTAACTAGTGAATGTTTAAACTAGAAATAAGTGGATGTTTTAACTAAAAACAAGTCCGTATCAATTAGAATCAAAAGGACATTTAAACAATATTTTAAGCTCCAACATTTCAATATAGATGAATAGATTTGAACCTATTTCACTATTTATTTCGACAATATAATGACATATTGCAAACTTAAATCAACACTCAAAAATGCCAGAACATCAATATGTTCAACACAGATGTTTTCTGTGAATATAAAAAGATTGCATAGATTCAATTTGCTTTAGTATTCAGTGTTCAATAAAATTTAACTTGAAATATAAAATACAGAGTTACGAAAAGTTTCAGTTTGATACTGTGCTATTTTAATTGCAAAAAAAATAAAAAAAAATTAAATAAAAACTGCGAAAAGCAAATAAATTATATTTAAGACTTACTTAGGTGTTGGAATTTCTTTATATGGTAATATTTCGACCCGAGTGGCGGCCGCAACGCTATAAGGAATCACAATATTATCTATATCATATGAGGAACGATTTTTTCTGTCAAGTGTTCTGTAAATAAAAAAAAAAACAAAAAATAATTATATATAAATTGTGCTTAAAATATTCGATAGTTACTTTACCTTTCATTTTTGTAGTAAATATTACCACTATGTGTTGGCGATGAAGTTCTACTTCGCCCTGCTTGTGTGTCCCAGCTATCGTTAATATGCAAAAAGCTGATTTCAGAATTACCATTGTAGTTACTATATTGGCCGTTATTGTGTTGTGGGAACATGCTGTTGTATTGATTGAAAGAGTTAATAGTGGAAACCGGCGCAGGTTTACGTGCTTTGCTATTTTTATAGTTATAATTGCTGTTGGAGATCGATGATGAATGTGCTTGGTTGGGATTGTATTGATCGAAGTTTTGCTGGTGATGATAGTCGCTCTTTAGATGAGTAAAGTTGTTGTTTCCGTAAGTCTGCGTTTGGCTGTTTGACGATGCTCCTGTTAATACTTCCAAAAATGTTCCGTTTAACGGTGCACAATTCCTTCCGTTTTTTGTTGTCTCTATTTTTTGTTGAAACAAACAAAAATTCCACATGTATGTTGGCAGCATTTAAAATAAATTTATGTGTATATATATGTAGGAGAGGGCAAATTGTTTATAAAACGTTGATGGAATCGGGGAAAATATGGTTTTAAAAGGAAATGCATGTAAATGATTGAAGGATTCGAATGTGGATTTGTGACGTGACGGTAACGCAACATCAAAGTGTATAGACGAGTTGTATAGGTTACGATTTGTTGTTGTTTTAGATGTGCCAATAGAAAGAAAAAAAAAAGATGCAAAATTTGTTTTGTTTTATGTTAATATCAATAATCTAATAAATTATGTTTACAATAATTTACTGTTGGCCAATATAGGCGTTGTGGAAGAAGATGCAGTACCATTTGAAACCTGATTTTGATATCCGGTTGGGTTCTTTTCCAATATACCCCCTCGTTGATCTGCAGCTCGGTCCTTCTTCTTTGTGTATTTACGCTTAATTGCTGATATTGGATTCCGTTTGGAAGTATTCGCATTGGTGTCGCGGGCTGATTTTATTATACTTCTGGCTATTGTTCTTATTTGAGCGCGTGATACTCTATGTTGCCATTCAGGTAAACGTGTAATTGCTTCCAAGTGGACAACATTATTTATATCTAAATTTAAACATTAGTTTTAATTCTGTGTAAGATAAATGGTAGATTTTATTAACTTACCATTTGGGAAACTTAAAACTGGATGAAAACCCGGATCTAAAAGTGCAACTCTTTCAGATAGCATCATTGTATCAGGTAAGTCGCGAGGTGCAGTTGGATCTGAACGACCTGTGCACAAAGCACATGGAAGCACGGGCCACTGGCAGCCACATTTTATGGTACTATTTAGAAATAAATGAAATATAAAATAATCACAAAAGATGATAATTATTAATTTAAATTTAAAACTAAAAATCTAAGAAAAAAAATTTAGAATCTTGAAAAAATAAGTACTTTTTATTAACAAATATAAATGTTAAAGGTTTTGTTTAATATTAAAATGTTCTAAGATAGAGATAAAGTAGCTAGATTTCTTTCTGAACAGTGTAGACATTGAACTGGCTTGCTGCCAATTTTTTATTACGAGCAAAATAAAGAGGTGGTTAATATCTTTGTGTTCTTTTTTGTGCGTGCTGTTTTTAATATAATACTAATATTTTTTTAAATACTCTAATTAAGCACTGCTTTATGTGTTCAATCGTTATTGCTTATATGTTTGAATATTACATTATATTTGGGATAAGTGAAAAAATTAAAAAATTAATTATTTGAATACAATTTTCGGGTTACTTATAGTGATTAATGTGAAACTAAACTGATAATGGTTATCAGCTTCAAAAGTTTTGTTTAATAAAACAATAATTAGAAATCATACAATAGGTTTTACAATTTTAAAATGAAATAATAATAAAAGAATAATATAGACATTTCACAGAAGTTAAATTAAACCAAAAAAAAACTATTTGCAGTGTTATTTGTAAATCGTAATTCTCTCCGTACCTTGGGCGTGCTGCTTTCTTTGAGATTGTATGTAAATTTGTAGTTTGGAGTAATTTTCTCTTACGAAATACGGCTGTATTAAGTGCGCGTGTTCTACAGCAACTTTCTTCACTAACATCAATCGTACTATCATTTGTCTCTTCACAAATTACTGCACCTTTGCCTTGTGCAATTTCTGCACTAACTTTATGAATATGTTGTATCTTCATTTCTAAATCCGTAATTTGTGCAACTGCCCAAGACCAACGTGTTCCAATTTTTGCACGATCACGTGAATAAACATACGCAGCTCGTTTTACACTAAAAATAGAGTTTTGAAATAATCTTTTATGTGTACAATATATTTTCAACTTACATTGATACTGCTCGTTGTATTGGGTTATTATAAGATATCATTTCATCAGCTGATTCTTCGTCAGAACTTGATTCAGTGGCATCTGAATCTATTGACTTTTGTAAATCACGCATTGCCGTTTGCAGTAAACCAGCCACGGTTTTGATTTCGTCAATGGTCTGTAGATCATATGTTGGTACTATAACCATTTCACTAGCATGTGTGCTAGATGATAGCGTTGATGTATCTTGGGAGTTTTTCTTATTCTTTTTATATAGATTACTAGAATTTACACCAGAAGAGGCGATGGCGGACAACTGCTGAGAGTCATGTGCTTTGCGTAGCTTTCGTATCAATGAATACACTTCCATCATGGAGATAAAACGTTTTTTATCGGTGTTAGTCGGTATTACATTTGAACCAATACCAATTAGATCATTATTACTCGTATTATCTTGATCGAGTAAATGACTATTGCGTTTACTGATACGAGAAGACCATTCAAAAAGACCAGCAATTTCCTCACTACTATGCTTACAGATGTAGCGTACTTGAATCATTCGCAATCGCAATAACATATCTGCAACTCGTTTTTCCAGAATTTCATTAACTTTAATAACTTCTAAAGTATCCTTATCAATATCATTACTGGGTTTTGTTGATGCCGCTGTTTGACTATAATTTTCATCATAATTAAAGCCATTAACTACTTCATTAAATAGATTATTAATATTAAGATCACATAATGTATCTGCAGGGACTTGAGCAAAACCTTTAAGCATATCTTCGATATCCTCTTCTTCAAGCACGGTACCATCTTTATTATGTATATTTATGCTTGGTGACATATTAGTTGATATGTTCTGTTGATTGAAAACAATCGGTGCTTGCGAAGTTGTTGCCAAATTTACCAATTCTTGTATACTTTGCTGTTGTGTAACATTTGCAAGCTTACTAGAGTCAACTGTAGGAAGTGCGTTTAAGTCTGCATTTGAATCGTTTGTGCTAGGCTGTACACAAGGCATAGGAGGTCCAGATATACTATCCAATTGGCTCAATCGCTCTGTAATGTGTAAAGAATAATTAATAAACTATATTAAATTAAAAATTCAATGTTAAAATTTATAAGTACCTTCTATATTATCCTCAACTTCTGAAGCAGTCATTGTGGAATCTGTACTAAGAGCTTGTATATCTACCGCAGATGTTGTGACATTGATGTTACTTTGAGGTTCAAGTGCAGGCCCTTGAATTACCGCACAGTTGCTTGGTATTGCGTCAGAATTGAAATTATCTATGTTTTCATAAATGTTACCTTGAATTTCAATTGCACTATTCACTTTTGGTTTATTGTCGGGATCAGTAATTAAAGGCGGATCCATGTGCAGTGTGGTATTCTGTTCAAGTACACCTTCTGAGTCTGCTTTGATTACAAAAATATCTTTTGGTTCGCTAGTATTGTTTTCTTTTACACCTTTATCTAAATTCGCGTCCTTTAATTGGTTACGTAAATAAATGTCTGCACTTATAGCCCCTTCAAAATTACTTGTTAAGTCAGCTAAAAGTTGAGCAGTTGAATCCTGTTTGCAAATTGTAGTTGGCTCAATACAATTATTATTTGAACCCAAAATTACATTCAACCCCAGTTGCTCACTATCATGCACATTATTCTCTTTCTTTTGTATATTTTCAATATCGCTTTTTGGTGATGATGCCTGCTTCTCGTAGTCACGTTGACTTGCGTCTCTCGAACGTGTGACACGAGTTGAAGTGGTTGCAAAATGATTACGATTTCTTTTGTCTTTATTAGAATTTACATTTGATTCAGTAGGCGAAGTAGATTCTTTCAATGATTTTTTATTTAAACGCGAGGCGGTTGCGACTCTTGTCGCCCTCACCGAAGTATTGTTTAAGTTATCGGTTGGACTTATAGGCTCTGTGAGCGCTGGTGCCATAGTGAAGATAACTTCAACATTTGGATCGGAATCCGCGACCCGAGCGCCGTTTCGCCTACGGTCCAGCTGATTTGTCGCTTTGGACGAAATTATGGTGCCTGTCGTATTCGCTTGATTATTCTCTTTTCCAATATAAAGTAGACGTCTTTGTCTTTTCAGAATAGGTGTATCATTTACGCCCATTCAACTTTCATTTAACAAACGTTTATTACTACAAAACAAAAAATTTATATATATATATATATATACATTAAAACATATTATGCTGTGCCGGCAACAGTAGTTAATGACAGTAAACAACAATAAACCACAATAAACATAATAATACAGCATAATGCTAAAATATGTGATTTAAACACAACATTTTAATGGAGTGATCTCAACACAAGAAACTGTTCTCAAAACCGAAAAATTTGCGGGACTGTAGTACAAAAAAAAAAGAAAAAAAAAAAATAAGAAAAACATAACCCAACACATGCAACATTGATGAAATAAGAACAAAAGCGAAATGAAAAAATAAGCTCATGTTATCGCGTTTTGGGTTTTTTTTTATAACAAAATTGAAAACGCCGAAATTTAATTACAAATTTAGTGAAAAATTAAAAAGATGCTTTTATAATTGTAAATTAAAAATTAACATGAATATGCTGCGCAACGAAACAAATTAATACATAAAGACTAGCATTATTTTATGGAGGTGGGAACACTCACTGCACATTGCCCGTTCTACACGAAAAAAAATTTTGATGCTTTTAATTTAAAATTTCATCATAACAGCATTGTAATTAACGTATTTAAACTGGATTAGTTTTTTTTATTTAAGAAAATAGCAATTAAAACACTGGTTTGTTTGAAGCACATACGAAGAGAACTGATTTTATATAATTTATTTTTATATTGCTTACACTCCCGCCTCTTATATCAATTTTTTTTTTCAAGTAATTAACAACGAATAAAAATTTTTGACATTTTTCATTATTTTAAAATATGTACATACATAAAATAATTCTAAATTTTGAAAAAAAATGTATTTTTCATTATTTTAAATTATAATTACTTGTTTAAATTTTCATTAAATGAATTTGTGTAACGTATACATAAAAATAAACCAAATGTTTTACGATTTGATTTCTTCTTAACTTTAACTTAATACGATTTAAACGTTTCTCGTAAAAGCAATGGCGGACACGATAGCGAATTTCATATTCCACAAAATCAAGCAATATTTGTCTTCCTCTTTTGGTTTTTGAAAAATTACTTTTGTTCAGCTCACACTAATGCAATCGAACAGAGCGACGTGTCGAACCGTACTCAATTCTTCTTATTGCTTGCTCAACTGTACGCAGAATATTGTATATTACACTCACTCTTGCATTACTGGCATGTGCAGCACTAAAAATATATTGTCAACCATCCTATTCCAGTATTTGTTACGCACTTTTTATAGCATTTGTGATGTTCTAATTGCGTCGTAGTTCACAAGGTTGCATAAATATTGTACTCCTTAGTAAAATAATTTATTAAGAAGGATATTAAGTACGTGTGCGAGTTAGGCTAAGTTGCGTTCTAATGAGGAAAATTCTAAGTTGTGCCGATAATGTAGTTATGTGTCGATACGTGTTGATAAATGGCACACCTAAAAAATCTCCCATTAAGTTTAGCCTAACTCGCACACGTCCTTATTTAACACATTTTTATAGATATGTAATTATATGTGAACAGTCAAGTAATTCCATAAGTATTTAATATCATTAATCTTTAATAATATTAATAACAGTTTGGCACAAAAACTTTCGTTTTGTTTATATGCATATTTGCATTGCGCTCCATACTATAAAATATTTTCTGATATTGTATATTAAAAATTAAGAAGTTGGAAATTTTTTTTCGTAGTTTCCAAATGTATATGAAATAAAAATAAATATGTTTATTATATATGTATTTTTTAATTTAAAGGTATATATTAAATGTAGTAAATTAATGCTATGTTCAGACAGCTAAATTTCTTTAATTTCGTTAAAGTGAAATTAAGGAAATCATATTAAGGAAATCATATGTTTTTTGTTCACAAATCGAATGTTAAAAATTACATGCTCCAAACACCATTTGTATCTGGGAAATTTTTAAATTTGATTATTATAACTATAAAGGATAAAATTCAGTAGTTTTATTAGCTATAGTAGATTTCAGGTATGTAAATTATTGTTTTTCACTCTATTTCGAATTAATAACAGTTACAGTTCTTTCCTATCCAAAAAATTTGCACTACTTTCTTAATATTTTTATGGTTTTATTAAAGTCAACTGCTATCTTATGCATAGTTGCATTTTAAATGTCCCTTAATTTCAGCCTTCGTTTCAACGAAATTAAGGCATTTTCCTTAATTTCTTTCTATCCTTAAAACTAAATTTTATATCGAAAAAACAACTTAATTTCGCTGAAACGAAGATGAAATTAAGATTTTTGCGAAATTAGTATAATGTTGGATATAATGTTGGACATCGTATAATGTTGGATATTCTGTGTCCTTACAGTACTAACATTTAGATATATTTAATGGCTAATATAGAAGCCCTATTTGATTGAAAATGTGTGTTTGATTAATAAATCTTAAAAATTGTTGTTTCATTTTAAGTTCAATTTATATTAATTTTTAAAAATCCAAAAATTTAACGTGTAAATATCAATAACAACAAAAAAATCAAATTGAGAAAAGTACACGACACGACAAAGTACACGATGAAAGATCAATTTAACATATCAATATTTGCAATTTATTTCCTTTTATTTTAATTTAGGACGTGTGCGAGTTAGGCTAACTCCAGTTAGGTTTATATATAAAAAATTCAGAAAATAATTGTGTTGAATAAATGAAATTTTATTTTATTTATTAATGAAGTACTAAAACCGTATTTACAATCATTACAAGATCTGAATTAAAAGGTAAGTCAAAAATTATATTTGTTATGAAGACAACAGCATACGAATATCATTATTATCAGTAACATCCTAACATGTTTGATCATTTCTATCAATTAGTTTGCTATTTGCATTAAATGATAGTAAGAACGTACACAATCAAAGGCACCACATTGCAAAACTTGCAAGATTGGCTTCTTTGACAAAGTAAAAAACATCTTTTTCATGTTCAGCTTTTTGTACTACATCATTTATCGGTAGCTCAGTGAAATGAACTACCCAACTAAAGGCAGGTTCACCTTTTCAAATTGTTTACAAACAATGTTGAACACAAACAAATTATTCAAATGTCAAAAATTACCAAAACAATATTGCCAAGTCAATGAAAAGAAATTCAATTATTTTTTTGGAAACAACCACTATAATAAAATTTTATCAAAGAAATGTTTATAATATTAAATAAATGTAATAAAAATTTTAAAAAATACAGATATTTACATTTTTTACAGATATTTACGAGTTACATTTTGACAGCTTATATCAGCTGTGAATATGTTTTGATTTCAGAATTTTGTTTACATATTTTGCAATAGCGGAGCAAATTGACGAAGCATTTTTATTTATGCAATTTTTTTAATTAATTCAATTAAATAATCGTCGTAAGATATTGTTAAAGAGATTCTTAGAAGAATATCCAAAGATAATTATAAAATAATTTCATTAAGTAACATAAATTATCAGTTAAACTATTTAGCGCTGGCTCTTATGCAAAAGTGGATATTCTTCAGAAATATTTAGAGCTGTTGTGTGAAACAGGATAGTTCAAATTCTCTCACCATATGAACAAACTCGTTTAGATATTCTCAAAATTCATTCACGTAAAATTGACTTGAGTCGTTGAATTCATTTACGTAAAATAGTTGAACTTATACCGGGAGCTTCTGGTGCAAAAGTTAAAGGCGTTTGCATGGAAGCTGTTATGTACGCGTCGTGTGTATGTTATTCAGGAAGATTTGAAATGTCTGTCACCAAAGTTATGCAGAAGGATTCAGAGGAGAACATGTCTATTAAGAAATTATGAAAGTAAATTTTAAAACTTTTATTTATTTATACACCGAGTATCATGAAATGATTATTGATTTGTAATTGAATTATTTCTTGGATCTTCACAATTAAAAGTTAAAAACTTAATATAACATTTACGTTTTTTGTATTTGCTAATTTTTTGTGCTATTAAAAGCGTTGTGTATTAGATTAAGTGTTGGTTTCTAATATTTTGGTCTTATTACTACATATTTTATTACAGTTGTAGATGATTTTAATTTATATTTTAAATTTAGTATGCATACTTGAATTTTCACAGTGCGATTTGGTAGCACATATATTTGGTCTACAAACATATAACATCGCTTATATAATGCTGCTTTTCGGCATCTCCGAAGTGTAACAGAGAAAAAGAAGTTACGTATTACGTTACGTTACGTGACACATTGGCATCACTGTTGCAATCTGTCATATGTTATGTTTTCGCAAACTTTGTGCACATAATACAAGCAAATTATATTTAATAAAATAGAAAATTTATATGAATAATGAACTAAAAGCAATATGAAGAATGAAGGAACTTTTGAAATATCCTTTTAAAACAAAATTAATAATAGTTTAAAATATTTATGGTTGAATAAATATTAGCTTATTAGCAAACAATGTGTTAAAAAATTGTGAATTTTTTTAAAATATTTATTATCCATAATTTGGCATATTTTTAAAATATTTATTTCCACGATTTTCAAATTTGTGAAACTTATTGTATTTTAATTTTTTTAGTTGAAATTCCAATGAATATTCGCAATAGATCGCTTATCGTTTGGTAACATTTTTTGTTAAAGTCGCTAAAATGTGTGCAGACTTCATTGGTAGTCGGTTGGATAGAAGGAGGGGTGTGTTGTGTTGCGTATAAATGAACAACTTTAAGCAAACGACTTGTTTTTTGATACACCTCTGAGAGGCCGAATACACCTGTTGTAGATATTGCAGTTTTATTTTGTATGGAATTACAAAATACAACTACTTTGTAACATATGAAAAATGCATTTTATATTTTCGTTTTAAAAATATTCGGCAGAAATTGCGAGTTATTCATGATTTTTATATTTATAACGCAAAAGTAACAGTTATTTGTGCGTTTTACAATATAAAGCAGAATTATAAGAGTTACTTCTGCGCGATAAAATAAAAGGCACATAAAATAATTATTTTTGAGGAATATAATATAGAGCAAATTTAATAATTATTTTTTGAGTTTTATTTTAAAATGCTGATATTTTATTTATAAAAATTGAAATTTATACATATTACTTTCTTGAGAATATAATAAATATATAAAATAATAATATAAAGCAAATTTAATTATTATTTTTTGAGTTTTATTTTAAAATGCGAATGATAATACTTAAAAGGTGATTTTTATTTTTTTTATGATAACTGCTACGGTCCCTGGTATTTTATTTATAAAAATTCAAATTTATACATATTACTTTCTTGAGAATATAATAAATATATAAAATAATAATAATAAAAAATTCTTTTACGCATTGTGGCATTCTGAACTCACCACACATGTTACGAGCTATGTTTATTTTTGACAAGTTTTTGTGTCAAAATGTGGTGAATTCGTATTTTCTACGTTTGGAATTTATTAGTCTTGCGAACATTAGTGAGTGTGTAGTACAATTGGTGCAGTGCGGATGGATGGTGATAGTCGTGAATTAATATAAATAAGTAATGAAAACTAAATTAAATTATCATAGTTTTGTAATAAATAATAATAAAAATTATTGCCAGTATTAATATGTGGCTATAAGTTTTTGAAAATGTAAAATGATGGCAGGACAAAATTAGGGTGGTGACGAAAAGTCGTGTGAAAATAATTAAGAAAAAGGAAAGAGAATATGCAAGATAACAAGAAGAAACAAAGTAAATGAAGATAAAGATAAAGAAATGTGCTTGTAATTTGTTGTAAAATGTGTAAAACTTTATTAATTAAACAATTGGCGCGTATATAATAGAGAAAAAATTAACCTTAATAAAAATAATACTAATATACTATTAAGTTACTTTTTTTTATGCTCAACGTTGTTGTTGTTAATTGTTAACAGTGCAGTCGGGAATTTTGTATGAGTCAGACGGAAGCTTGCAATAACAAAATTGTGTGGAAACGAGTGAGTTTAAAAATAAACAATACTGACTTGGTATCAATTAAATAAAATAGTAAATATTAACAATTAAATTACTAAAATGACCAGTTTTACAAGTCTGAAAGGTTGGTTTCGTAAGAAAGAGCCAATATCAGAAATAGGAAATCCAACAAATTTTCAACGACATTTTCATGTTTCGAGAAACAAAGAAACCGGCGATTTGGAAGGTCTGCCAACGCCATGGCTTCGTTTAATGAACGCACAAATTACGCGTGATGAACAGGACAAAAATCCTGACGCAGCCTATCAAGCTGTAAAGTATTACAATTATTCCATAAAAAAGAAGGATAATGATATTTTTAAGCCGCTTATAACCGAGGAGGCCATACACGAGGAATCGAAAGAAATTGATAATTATGTAAATTATAAAAATAAACACAAATCCCAAGATTTAGATAAATCAGATGATGAATTATATAGCGGTGGCAGTTCTACTGCAGAGAGTGGTAGCTCTAGTGGGAATAGCAATAGCAGCAGTTTAAACGATAATCACAATTTCCGAATTACAGGACTGAATGAAGTGATTAAAGAGTTAGAATCAAATTTAGAACAACGTGAGACGCTTAAGGCTGACACATTTAACATTGGTGGTGAAGTACCACCGCCATTGCCTGCCAAAAAACCACATACATTGCCACCAAAACCAGTAATAAAACCAAAACCAAGAGGAGTACCCAAAAGTCAATTATCACGTGGTGTTTCAGATTTAACTACTATTCCTCACGACGATGAGCCGCATAAAATCAATACGGATACAATAATAATTAAACCGGCTGTCAATACAGATTTGGATGCTGATGGCGATGAGACCATTTTGCGTCGTTCGAAAGATAAACGTGCACAAAAGACAGATGCAGAGATTTATGATGAACTTAGAGCTATATGCAATACAGATGATCCGCGTGAACGTTATAAGACAACGCTTGAAGTTGGTAAAGGTGCGTCTGGTATTGTGTTTATTGCTGCCGATATGCAGTCCGAAGCGCAAGTAGCAGTTAAAACTATAGACCTTAAAAATCAATCTTCCAAAGATCTTATACTTACTGAAATACGTGTGCTTAAAGACTTTAATCACAAAAATTTGGTTAACTTCCTTGACGCATATCTCTTAGAACCGGAAGATCAGCTCTGGGTTATAATGGAATATATGGATGGTGGTCCACTGACAGATGTGGTAACTGAAACAGTTATGAAAGAGAGACAAATTGCATGTGTCTGTCGTGAAGTATTGTACGCAATTAGCTTTTTACATTCAAAAGGCATTATACATCGTGATATAAAATCAGATAATGTGCTTCTGGGTATGGATGGTTCGGTAAAAGTAACTGATTTTGGTTTCTGTGCTAATATTGAAGGTGATGAAAAACGACAGACTATGGTTGGTACACCATACTGGATGGCCCCTGAAGTAGTAACACGTAAGAAGTATGGTAAGAAGGTTGATATATGGTCCATTGGCATAATGGCAATAGAAATGATCGAAGGTCAGCCTCCATATCTATATGAAACACCGCTAAGAGCGTTATATCTAATCGCAGCTAATGGTCGCCCAGATATTAAAAGTTGGGATAAATTAAGTACCAGTTTGCAAGACTTCCTTGATTGTTGTTTACAAGTTGAAGTGGATAAACGTGCAACTGCTGATGAACTATTGCGGCATCCGTTCCTCGACGATTGTAGCGAATTAAAAGCATTAGTACCAAATATTAAGGCTGCAAAGAAAGTATTGCGACGTATGGTGTAGGCAAGGATATGAATGTTTTATGTAAAAAATTGTATATTTTATTTAATTAACGGCGAAGTAGAACAAAAATGTTAAAACTGCTGATTAGGCTTAGTATTTGCAATATTTTAAATTAAAAAACATTCGTTACAATCGACTTAACAAACGAAATGTGGTGCTGATGGGGATATAGAAGAGCTCAAACTTGTATACAATGAATATAATTAAATCAGCAAATCAAAAAATCGCTGGGCGAGGTCTTTAAATAATTCTCTTGGTAAGTACATTTATTTGAATTATATAGATAAAATAGAATATAGATATAAATCCATTATGGTTCCAAACAACAGTACCAAACACGCTAAATTCATTTAAAACTTTTGATTATAAGTATATATATTGTAAGAAATGGGGAATAATATTAAGTATGTAAAAATATTATACGTATATACACATATTTAAAAACTTACACCAATATAATTTTTAATAAACAATCTCTGAATAATTTGAATTTATGCAAATTTATATACAAATTTTTCTTGATCAAGTAGTATTAAGAATCAAAAGCGAAATATAATTAATCTTTTTCTAAGAGTTATAAAAATATAGATATAAAACAGAAACGTTATTGTCTGAGAAATTAAATATACACACATGTTTACAGCAACCGCATTCAAACTAATTTTAAACGAAAGGGAAACAACGAACAGTAATACCGAATTTCCATAGAAAGTAAACTTAAAATAATATAAATAATTTTAATATATTTTTTGTATTACCTCATTTTGACTATAAATTAAATTATTCATAATCTACCTTAACACACAATGCTACATTGTTCATATAATAATTATTTTTATAATCTGATTTAATCACTATATCACTATATGGTGATCACTATATATGGTCACTTTTAATCACTATATGGTCGTGATAACCTTCGTCAATAATGTACCGCCCTTGCTTTATGTTTAGGAATGTTTAGGAGATTTCAGATTTTGTCCTGTCTTCTTTATTAATCTTTCAATGTGTAAATGCTTTCTCTATATATTCAAAGTCTGTATTTCTGAATGTCACTCATTCGTATCATTACTATTATAACTTTACATAAACGCTATAGCTTCAGTACCACTTAACCTTGCTAAACTCTTTGGATTTTATTATTTTGTTTTACTTTGCTTCTCGTCTTACGGGACGGTCGGGTCTATTCGGACCGACAGCCTACGCTTCATATCCATAGATAAGTAATAAGTGGATCATTGAATTTAATCACTTTACTATTGTAGTTAAGTTTAGAGAGGTATACGAGATATATTGATAAAAACTATTGTGTACAAATTCTTTTACTATATCTTTACTTTGTTGCATAGTAATATGCTGTTACGATAGGTAAATACAAGTGATTCACTGAGAGCTGTTGGCGTAATGGGTTGCAAAATAAATTTCTGAGGGTTTTATTTCTGAATCTTGGATGATTTTAAAGTGCTTCTATAGAAAAGAAATGTAATTAATTAATTTGTTGATAATTATATATATAAACTATAAATATTTGTTATACATATTTTGTTTATATAATAATTTATTAGCCGGCTATTTGGTCATTTAAATAGAAATAAAAAAACTATAATTTAGTATTTGGAGTTTCCCTGAAGATAGTCGAAATATCGGAAAAGTATTTTAAATTAATTTGTGTTTATACACAAATAATAAATTATAGTTTTTTTATTTCTATTTAAATCACAAATAAAAGAATGAGAACATATTTTGATTTTATATTTTAATAATGTTGTGAATATCATAGAGATAACACGAATTATTCAGAGAAGATGACACGAATTTTAACACAAAATATTTTTTTAATTCACATATATTACAATTACTATATGTATATATTATATTACTATATGTATTTTTAACGATTTTTAAGATACGTATAGAATATTATAATAATTTAAATAATATGAGATTTCCTGTTTTGGGCGTAAAATATATATATTTTTTAAACAAATACTAAAAAAAATTACAAGAAAAGTGTAGTCTCAAAGAATATATCTTTCTTTAAACGTTATGTTAGTGTTGGTCAAGTCCAGCATTCCGCGCCGTTCGTCTCTTTGTCTCACATAGTCTTTCTAGCTTAAAGTTGGTAATCTTCTGCAATGTGATCTTGCTTCATCTGATTTATTTTAACTGGTGCGTCATCCTTAATTCGTACGATATTTCGCATACACAGTTACGTTAAGGCTCTACATTTATTTACTTTATTTACTAATTTGCTGGCTATGTTAATGTAGTGGAACAGTTCAGATAGCTCGTTATTCCATGGAGAATAAAATTTGTGTTAAGAATCATTTTGTGAAGAGTTTTCTTCTTGTTAACTAGTTAAACTCGTTCATTAATTCTTATCATTCATGTTTATGTGCCATATATATTATAATTGATGATATGAACGATTTGTAGAGATAATTTTTGTCTACAATAGAACAGAAAAGGAATTCTAAATTGCATTATAAGTCTATAGTAGCATATGTTCGCAAAATTTTCTGTATTACAAGATTATAATATTATGAATACACTTACTTTATTAGGCTGCTGGGAAACTTATCAACGCGATTTAGGTTACTATGTAAATGATATTCATCTATTAAAAGTGAGTTACGTGTTATTATCTCCAGAAGAATACATACATTAACAACAAAGAAATTGTACTTTTTTAGTGTGTTTCTTTTTTGAGAATTTGATACCGGTAATATTTGTGTTTAATGGATAAGAATTTTGTATCTATTTCAAGATTTAGTTATTGTCACCTGGGTTTGACAAGTATCTTTATATATTATAAATATATATATTCCTTTGTTGGCAATATACTCCAAACTTACTTTTACGTTTATCTATATATTAGATTCATGTATCTAACATCTGTTATGATAATCGAATGATTAATTACTTACGTGCATACATAGATAGATATACGTAATAAAAACTGAATTGAAATAAATTCTAAATAAACCTATCTATCGATCCTCTTCTTTTGGAATTTCTTAACAGATAACTAATTTTTGTTTATGAAATTATATTAAATAAACATTGATTTCAATTTTAACAACAACCAAAAACACATAAATTATTTCTTCACTCCAAATCAGCTTCATTAACAGTTTCATTTGTGATGGACCATTGTGGCATTATAATGCACCATTATAGCATTATAATGCAAATCCTACACTGCGCGGTTATTGGGTTACTTCATCGCCTTTGTCACACACTTAAGCCGTTTAAAAAACAAACCGATAACAAACCGTAAGTGTATAAAAAAAATTATATAATATAAAAAAAGTTCACAAAAATCAAACGCATAATTTGTTAAAGCAGAAAAAAGTTTATTTAGTGTTTATTATTAACAGTGAACAAGTTTTCGAACACGAAAGCCAGCGTTTTTACAAACACAGATATTTTGTTAATTTTTGTTGGTATTTTTGCAATATTTCCTGTTGAAAACTTTATACATTTCGAAAAAAAGTAAAAATATTAATTTTGTTTACAAGTATTCAAGCATTTATCTACAGCTCATACATACACAAACATCACAAGCTTATAGTACATACGTATAAAAACCTAAAAATATATTAGTTTTTTTATCATTATTAAGCTCTGCCACACTCGTAAACCAACTAAATTTATTTTATCAAATTTATTGATAAGCAATAGTGTTTCCCCCTCTGCAGTAGTAAAATTTAAATTGTCTTGTAGCCGAAAGTGAATATACTTAATTTTTTATATAAAACAAAATCGAAAACGAAATAATATGAATAAAATAAAAATTGTTTTTTATGAAATTAAAATCAAATAAAACAAGTATTTCTATTAGGTTCATACAGAGGTTACTATAAATAGTGACCTATATGGCATAGGTGAATGGTTATGTCCTCATTTAGATAAGGTTTAAATAAGATAAGATTGCATGTGCATTTGAAAAATAAATTACATATGTAGTCAAAATTCCTCAATCGAGTATGGAAAGCTATAAACTAAAAACTATAACACATTTCTTATAAACCTATATAAATATGTATCATGATTTTCAAGATCCAAACAAGAACACATTAATTACATGTCACCAGGCTTGACCAGGACTTCAAGCCTAAATGACATTGCAAATATATTTTATTAAAATATACCTTTTCAATAAAATTTTAGTTTTTAAAAATATTTTCTTTTCTGTGATGGTTTCAGTTTTATTAATTTTCAAAGGCAATATATTTTTTGAACAAGAAGAATATATTTATAGTATCAATTTTGAACAAACATTGAGTGAGAGTAGGTTTTTCGAGTTTCAATAGACTTCAATTTCACAACACGCTTTATAACTAGCGAAGAGATATGAGTTTTTAAGTGAGTAATGCAAATAAATCACTTCGCTTAATACTATGTTCAGACAGCAAAATTTCCTTAATTTCGTAAAAATGAAATTAAAATAATTTCCAAAGTGTTCATACTGCACCAAATTAAGGAAATCATGTGTTTTTTGTTTACAAATCGAATGCTAAAAATTATATGCTCCAAACACCATTTGTAGCTGGGAAATTTTAAAAGTTGATTATTATAACTTTAAAGGATGAAATTCAGTAGTTTTATTAGCTTTAGTGGATTTCAGGTGTGCGAATTATTTTTTTTCACTCTATTTTAAATTAATAACGGTTAAAGTTTTTTGTCTATATTCAAATTTAGAAATTTGCACTACTTTCAAAATATTTTCCTGGTTTTATTAAAGTCAACTCTCACCGATACTTATTTTAAAAAAAATGTCACTTTTTCGTTATCTCATCTTTATTTTTTGCTTAAAATTTATCTTACGCATAGTTGATTTTAAAATGTCCCTTAATTTCAGCATTCGTTTAGACGAAATTAAGGCAATTTTCCTTAATTTCGTACTAACCTTAAAACTGAATTTTGTATGGAAAAAACCACCTAATGAAGATGAAATTAAGATTTTTGCGAAATTAGGGTGTGTCTGAACATAGTATAAATCTGAATGATAACATAATACTAAAGAGTTACAATTCGTAGAAAAAATTCTAAGAATATCGTATTTGTTACGCATGTTTTTAAAATTATTAAATCAACATAAATATATGTATGTATATAAACAAGTTGAAAAAAAACAAAAAAAAAAAACACAGCTATTGTAATTATTATTATTATTATATTATTGTGGAAGTCCCGAATATACAAAGTATTGGGAGTCACATAGTGCTGAAACTTGTAGTCACCTAGCGCCTA